TAGCTATGGGGAATTCGTTGTGGATAGTGAGCTTGGTCAAAATAAAAGATTCGGGGCGCCCGTTTCAGAAGAAGACCTTTCTTTAATGATAAAACAAACTGAGAATCAGAACACTTAAAATAACACAAAATGGGCGTTCAACGTTTTTGAGAAATGGCGTTTAAGAAGAGAAGGGGTGGTGCCAGAGCTTCTAAATATGAATTTAGAGGACATGGATTTCTGGCTGCAACGTTTTATCGTCGAGGCACGTAGAAAGGACGGAATGGAGTACCCACCAAAGTCTCTATATCTCATTACATGTGGATTGCTCCGATATCTTAGAAATGCTGACGTGAACGATAAACATTTCTTAGATGAGCAGAATCTTAACTTCTGTAAATTTCGAAAGGTTTTGGATGCTCGTATGAAGATGCTGATAGAAAAGGGAATCGGAAGCGAGATTAAACAAGCAGAACCAATAACCCAAGAACAGGAAGAATCGATGTGGAGAGAAAAGGTGTTCGGGAAGGAGTCGGCAGAAATGCTTCAACGAACCATGTTTTTTTTTATTCCGCCAAACTATTTGGACTGCGTGCATGCGATGAACATCATGACCTACAATGCAGCCAATTTGTTGTTGGGGATGAAAATGGTACACCATTTGTGCAGTTTATTGGAAGACAATCAAAAACCTTTAAAGGGGGACTTGGTCACATGAATATCACCAATAAGAATATTAAACACTACTGCAAACCAGGTAATATTATGTTATTTCATCAATAGTTTGACAGAATTTTATATCATTAAAATTTCATCACAACGCTGTGCATAAAATAAATCGACTAACAAAAAAAAAAAAAAAAAAAAAACAAGAATCACACATACATTGGAATTTTACAAATAATCCTGTCAATATGAAGTGAAATTGTAGCATATATTTTTTTTTTTTTCATCATTTTCTCAACTTTATAATTTTTTGTAAAAAAATACTCAGTTCTAAAACGAAGGTTTTTGTTAAGTATGCCGCCAAAACATTTGAATAACTTTTATAATTCATTTGTTTTTTTCTTTTACAAGTCTTGTCTTGTCCGTCTGTCCGTCCGTTTGTCTGTCTATAGCGCGACCCCATCGGGTCTCTTCCGAAAACCTTTACATGTTGTTATTACCAGGTGGAAATGTGCATATCGTTGCGGGAATTTAATCAGACTATATTTGAAGGAGTCACTTGATGACATATTTTTTCATCATTTGTCACAAAATTGTTCTGGCAAAACTCTTCTTGCATTTTAAATCAAATATCCTTGAAACTTTTCATGCTTGTGTATTATTATACATGTATAAAGATGCGCATACCGTTTTGGCAGTTGACCAGACTATTTTTAAGGAGTTTATAACCTTTATTACTTAAAACTGTTGATCCTTTGTGACAAAATTGCTGTGAGCGCAACTCCTACATTTTAAATCGGATCTATTTGAAACCATGCTTGCTTATTATTATCTTGTCTGGGTATTTCATTTTCGTTCGCCAGTCAACTGACTTAAACGAAACATTTGAAATACTGTTAAAGTGCGAAACAAACTGTGAAAATCCTCCTTGTTTCTTATTAAATCTCATTATTTTTTTTTGTCTTTATTAAAGCTGGTTTTTTCCTTTATAGGTGAACGTTGTATCGCTGATTTCTTTAAAGTCCACCTTGACGCATTAGCAAACGACGGAATTTTTTTTATAGGAGACCACTCAAAGGTATCCCCGGAACACCAATACGATATGGAAATCAGCCGCTTGGCATAAATAAGTTGAAGTCATTTATGAAGGTGATTTGTACCAAGGCAGGATTGTCCGGTAACTTCATAAATCATAACTGCAAACGCACGTGTGCAACACAGCTGTACAATGCAGGAGTCGATGAGCAGGAGATTATGGCCAGGACAGGCCACACATCTCAAGCAGGGGTAAGGAAATACAAGAGAACATCTGCCGAAATTTCAGCGACCGTGTCGAGAATTTTAGACCCTCCATGCAGTAGTTCAAGCATTGAAGATTCTGCCGAGTCGTCTGTAGCTCCACAAAAGAAACTTCGTACTGACGGAATGGAAGAGGATATTTCGGACAAAGGGTGTGAAAATTCCAACAGTGATCAAATTTTTCACGGATGCAATGTTTACTTTCATGCTTAAACATGAAAAAGAACCAAATCAAAATAAATTCTATAAAATAATCATTATTTTCTTTTTATGAAGTTATTTTAATCGAGGTTTAACACGGATTCATGAATAAGCTATCAGGGAAGTCTTCTCTTGTGCCATTTTATTTGCAGTAAAACATTTTGACTTCTCGCTGGGATCTTGACGAGTGTTTCAAATGGTTAAGTTTTCGTATTTTATGGTGATCCGGAAATTCTTGTCTTGAACAAATATTTGTCTTGTGATATATATATCGAACGTATGTAATAACTGAAGGGGTGGAGCCATAAAACTAGATCATTTGTAACTGTTCTGTAACTCCACCCCTTCACAAGTGTTCTTGTATTGGAAATTGTAGTACACTCAGAACAAAGGAAATTTTGGCTAAACGTGTCACAAATGATTTTATTACAGCACAGAAAGACAAAATATTATGTTTGCAGGACAATGGCTGGTCTTTGTAAAGCTAATGAATACGTCATTCAACTTATTTAAACTGTTGTGGTTATAACAATCCCCTTCTTAATCATATTTTACAATTCTTTTCTATTAACATGTTTTTCTTCATATAGTTTTTTTGTGGCTTTTATATGTTCCCGTAATAATTTATTTCTATGAATATAAAATATGGACAACAATTTTTAGGTTTCTAGAGAATACCAAATAGAGGAAAATCAGTATTAAACGTAAGGTCTCTATTAACTTAATTCTAAACCAAGAGTGGTCTTGCCGTTGTATAGATACGCTCAGACGAGACCCGCTGATATGTTCTACTGTTTCGGCTTCTCAACATCCAAAACTAAACTTATTAGTGTTTTTCAACTTTGTTTTGAAGTAGAATTCATTTGTATCTGAAATTCTTTACATTTTTATATTCTATTGGGACGCGGAAATTGTATTACAAACATATTTTTCTTTTCTACAAAAAAACAAAGGGTTTTACACGTTTTGAATTATTTCTGTTTATTCTTCAGATCAATATTTAATTTTAATTCTTTTTTGTTATTTCAGTGGTTACCATTTTCAGACATCGTATTCAGTGTGGTTTTGATGTAGTGTCTCTCCTAATTATATATCATTTGTTATCTCAAATGGTAAAAAATCATTTCGTCGATAAAGTCTTTAATAGTATTGTATTTTTTTGAAATACTAGGTATCTATAGGAATAAATATTTAATTTGTGTTTTTCCGTGACGGTCATAGCATTTCGGGACAAGTATTTATTTGATTTATGACCTAATCTTCGCTAGAAAAATTACCTGTGTGACGTTTACATTCTGACGTCAAACACGCGATTCTACGCCAGAGTTAATGTTAAAATTACGATTCGGTCCCAGTGCTTAAAATCCCTCGATCCTTTATGGGTTGATTTGGCAAACATAAATAAACTACAAAAATAAGTAAGCAATGAACGAGGTTTTTAAATGTGATATACGCTTTTTTGTGCTTCTTTATTAAATATTTGTTTGTTTTTGTTGTGATTAAGATTGTGACACGGTGTAGACTGCTGTACCCCTATTTTCACATTTTACCTATTATGTCTGTTTGTTTTATTCACGCATCGTTGTCAATATAATGGAATTTGATGCGACTGTCATACAAGTGAGAGGTTTTAATAGCGCTATAAAACCAGGTTCAATCCACCATTTTCTACATAAGAAAATGCCTGTACCAAGTCAGGAATATGACAGTTGTTGTCCATTCGTTTGATGTGTTTGTGCTTTTGATTTTGCCATTTTTGTTTTTGAATTTTTCTCGGAGTTCAGTAATTTTGTGATTTAACTTTTTACAAATGATTTGTTTTCATTTCAAAAATTTCAGTTCTAAACCATTTTTAATTTATTAGATTGTCATGACAAAACCTACACAGTAAAACTACAAAATGTATAATTTGTTTTTAGGAGTGGTGGCCCAACCATTGTTTAATTCGTTGGTTTTTAACATTGCAAAAAAAATTCTGATCACCATGCCTTAACCATGTTAACCATGGGTATTCTGAATTGACGAGACCAGATGTCTATTGCGCACCTTATGTTTTGGTATTGAAAGTAATGCAACACAACGTATGTCGTATATTTTAAAAAATATCAAAAACATTTTGGATTCCCACATTAAGCCATGCTTTCTGCATTCTATTTTCTGTGATTCACTTCCATTAACAGTATACAGTCAATATCTTTCAAGTACAATATCTTGTTTGTTAGGCCGCTCTTTCTTGGCGTGTCTAATGATGAAGGAGCAACATTAACTTTAGCCCACTTAAACGGTTCACCTAGTTTGTCGTATGTTTTTTTTTTTATTGTATACTGTATAATTTATTATTTAATTTCCATAGACCCTTCTAAAAACTAAAAGATTTCAGGTAAACTAAAAGCAGCACAGCTTCTTTCATGGGTTGTTTTAAAAACCTGACACGATGTTTATTCATTTTATATGATGTGAACATTTGAAAAAAAAAAACCTTGATAAATAAGATAATATTTTACTTATTATATATTGCATATTAAATTTACCAGCTGTTCCGCTGTATCCTTCAATAGACAGTTTGTAATTCGAAAATACATCGCCTATTTTGAAAGATTTATATCTTGCAAATGCTTTGTTGTTTTTAAAGTCTTCTATCATTACCATCAATTCATATCTACCTTGTTCTGTAATGATATAAAGTTTACTGTTACCTAAAACAAATAAACAATATTAACAACTAAAGCACAAGATTTCAGACTATGCTGTATACTGTTTCAAATCCGACATTTTACAAGTTGTCTGAATAAAAATAGTCTAGCATTTTTCCGTTTATATCAAGTTAAGAATGTGAAAAATAAAATAATACAAACCTAACCAGAATTCTTTACGTAAACTTCCAAAGCCATTCTCATAATCAATCCATTCACGATTAAAGTCCTCTTCGCCAGTTTCTCTTCGTTGAAAAACCTTAAATCAATCGGTATGGTATTATAAACAACCCGCTAAAATGCTATCACTCACGTAGGACCAAATGAAGCTTGTTGCTTCGCAGAGATACGATAATGGCGTAGCAATTTATATATATTATAGCGATTTGTCATAAAGAAACAACAAGAATAGGCAGACACAATTAGAAAAAAGGTTTATAATGAAATTTTATACTGCTTATTTTGCATGTTTAAAAAAAACAATTTTATGCAAAAAAGGGCCGATAACAGATGAGACCGTCTCAACTTTTAGTAAATTTGTTAGGTCAAAGTTCCTTTATTAAATAAAAGTAGCTCATCTAGAGCATAGCTCACATTTTTTTTGTTATGTAAAGATCAGAAAATCTATCAACGATCTATAAACAAGAATGTGTCCATAGTACACGGATGCCCCACTCGCACTATCATTTTCTATGTTCAGTGGACCGTGCAATTGGGATAAAAACTCTAATTTGGCATTACAATTAGCAAGATCATATCATAGGGAACATGTGTACTAAGTTTCAAGTTGATTGGACTTCAACTTGATCAAAAACTACCTTGACCAAAAACTTCAACCTGAAAGACCAAAAACTTTAACCTGAAGCGAGACAAACGGACGGACGGACGGACGAACGAACGAACGGACGCACAGACCGAAACACATAATGCCCTTAGGTGGGGCATACAAAATAAATATTTATTCATGTTACAATGACATTGTTGAAGAAGACATTTATTTTCCGCTTCAATGTCCATCACTTAGAACTTAAAAGTCGATTTTTGTTTCTGATATATCAAAATAAATATTTACTTATTTTCAAATCTTTAGATGACCATACAAAATTCATATGGTAGATGTCAAATGAAGAACCTATAGTTATTAATTTGAAAATACAATTATTGATTACTTTGATTAAGACTTTAAGAGCAAAATTAAATAGTACGATATGAGTGACCCTTCAGCTCTTCCAACACCTTACAGGAAAATCTATCTGCAAAGTTCACACTTTGTCTGTTGTCCCCCCTTTCATATATTCTTACTAATTAAGTTTTTTGATATTCTCCAATTAAAAACAAATATTATAACTATTTGTACACTGTATATATAATTGTAATGTATATTTACGTAAATCAGTATAAAGCATTTTTTGTTTTTTTTTGTGTGTTTCGGTACTTGTTCAGCGTTGGTTATGAGCGTTACTGATGAATGTAAATCCCGAAAATGAATTTTTGAAGTGTTATTTTTATTTTTTAATCTTTACAAGAAAAAAGTAAAAAAAGCAAAAATACCGAACTCGAAGGAAAATTCAAAACGGAAAATCCTTAATCAAATGGCAAAAATCAAAACAAACATTTCAATACGTTATGCTTTACTTACTGTCCAGCCTCCTCCATTATTGTATGTGTCAAGGTCACAGTAAACGTTAATGCGTCCAATGCCCTTTGGATATATAGTATAGATACCACTTCCCTGGCTTACATGAATATCAGTACAGTCGATAGGTTTTTCTAAAGAAAACATGTGTTTTCTACATTGTTTTGTTAACGACAAAAAGGACAAAAAACTAACAAAAAAAGAGCTATGCAATAGTTTATTAAACATTGTATTTGTGTTTTCGAAAGCACTACCTGTTGTATACTAGTTCTGCAATTGCGATCCTAATACATTGATATGACTTTCGTCTTCTAACTTTTCTCTGATTTTAAAAATTTCTTATCCGGAGAAATTGAAAAACATCTCGGCCTCCTGAATATCTGCATGCTTTCAAACCCGTATTCAAAACACAAATTAAACTGTCATAAATCTTAATTCACCTTCATCGTTTAGCAGATTTTGTGATTGTTAAAATGTAGATAGTGCCTCTTTAGCCAGATTATTCAATAGAGATGCACATGGACAAATTTTCACATGCAATGCTCCTGATGCTAGAAAATAACAAACCTGCCCCAGATCATATTTACACAGAGACGTTCGGTCATTAGTAAACGGAAGAAATTTTCGCTCACATTTTTCTATGACATATCTTGTTCAGGAACTTAACCATAATGCAGTCAATAATTAGGAAAAAAAAAAGTGATTGGTGCCCGTATGAAACTCATGAGCATTTGAAAGAATATGTGTATATGTCCACATACATCTTTGTTGAATAGACGAGTAAACAGCTACAGAAACTGATAGTTATATCTAAAATGCTTAAATTGTTTCTCTAAAATATTCAAATGTGTGAATTTTAGTACCCACCCATATGATAACTTCAAAGAACGTTTTAAATCTGTTGATTCTATTTTGTTTTAAATATATAATAGTACATGTCAAAATAAGTCTCTATTATTCAATGTCAGGAAGATCAGTAAAAACAGTTTATTTTTAAACGATTGATAAATAAAACGAAAACTTATCTAAATTGAAATTGTATTTCATGACTGTGCAACCTGAACTTTCAGTTCCTAAAAAATTACCAATACCTTCAGACACTCGTTCCAATTGCAATGATTTTCTTACATCCTCTTTTAACTGCAATATCAATCGTTCCGTATGATTTACATATATAGCCACCATAAGAATAATCAATACATTGAGAAATACAAAAAGTGTATCGATCATGTTGATATATTTAATTTACTTCCTTTAGTTACGTTTCATACGCAAGTTCTTAACAGTTATCTCCCTTACATGTACACTTATTGTTACAAATATATTTAGATGTCGTTACCGATGAATGGTATTCGTTAATTACAAGGTCGAAATAATTAATTAATTTTACATACGACAGACACCAAAAGAGAAAACAGATCTATCAACTACTACATGGCGTTCTTATGGCACATAGATAATCCAGTTTGTGTTATCCTCAACTCAACCTCCAAAATATTTTATTTTTTCAAAGTGAGCATAATTCGATTGAAGACAGTTTCAAAATTATTTTCCTCCTCATATATAGAGGTAGTGGTATTTTTCCATTGATTGATACATGAGATACCTTATTTGTGTTTTTGTAACTCTTAACAATTTTCCTCAAATTTATTCATATTTTTACAGTTATTGTAATATAAAACAAGGTAAACGATCGTCTTATATGGTCCTTTTTATTATTTTTTGGTATAAACGAACATACTTTTATGCTCAAGGAACGTAATACATGATGTTCGACCTGCTAGTCAAATGCGTTTTGTTAAAATATACTTTTTCACTTTTTAGGTCTTTTGGAAAATGTTGTTTGTGCTGTATTTAGATCCCTCTACCAAGAAATTTGTTTTGCATGCTCATATATAAACAATTCTAAATTGAAAACAACGTTCAAACCTATGATTGCGTTGGATAAAAACCGCAATTTTTATACGTGTGCATGCAAAACAAATTTCTTGTTAGAGGGGTCTAAATACAGCACAAACAACATTTTCCAAAAAGTGAAAAAGTATATTTTAACAAAACGCATTTGACTAACAGGTCGAACAACAAATGATCTTAAACCCTGCTGACTGCCATTGGCGATTGCCAAATAAACGGATCACCGATGTAATAAATGGATCTTAATTTCAAATTTAATACTAAACAGAAAACAATAAACTTGCGGAGAAGATGATATACCGCAAACAAAAGGTACAAAGGTTTTTGTACACCATATCCGGATTTCGACAAATAATGTCTCTTCAGTGATGTTAGGAATCGAAACGGTATTTGGAAAGCCTAACAATTTACCTCAATTTAGGATAGACTATATATATATATATAATTCGTCTAAACAACAGCCCAACAATGTTAGATCTGTAAATTTGCGGAAGCAAATTTTTTGTTCTTCCCTGGCCGGGATTCGAACTCATGCTACTGAGATATCGTGGCACCAAATCGCCTTGCACTATGCCCGACGCGCTAGACCACTCGATCACCTAGGCTCTATAAAAATAAAGCTTTTGGTGGCCGGTTGTTACCTTTCCTCGTCAGTTTTTATCTAGCGTCGTAACACAGTACATCATATATAAGGCATGAAGATGGAATTGTTACAGATCAGTTGAAATATCTATTGTAAAGGATCTTACAAATTAATGTAAGATGCAGTCACAGAAATAATTATGTTATAAGTACGTCTGAACCAGTGACGACTCTACAGCAGATTTTATCCATCGGATCACCAGCAGTGATGGTGATACAAGGCTGAAAATACATTCTGAATATATAATTCGTTTAAACAACAGCCTAACAATGTTAGATATATATATATATAAGTACGTCTGAACCAGTGACAACTCTACGACAGATTTTAGCCATCAGATCACCAGTGATGGTGATACAAGGCTGAAAACACATTCAATACATATAATTCGTCTGAATTATTTATTATATATATATATATATATAATAAATATGTTATTAAAGGGCTGGTTCTGCAAGGTCAAGCTTAGAAACTTCTTCTGTAATAAGCATATTCAAGAACTGTTATAATCACGCTACTCGACATTCTTTCAGTAATTGCAAGCATGTTTTATTCGTTTTTTTCGTTTGTTATTATTGTTTTGCATGTACTTGTGTTTTTGCTATCTTTCATGGCATTATTATTGAATAAGAGTGAAGTCCTTTTCCAGTTAGTTTAATTCCAAGTTGTTTTATCGGTCAACTTTTGTTTATAGTTCCAATTTTGTTTATTGGTCCAATTTTCTTTTATCTGCTCTTCAAAGTTGGCAGTAGATTTTGAACTTGTGCATCACTGAAGAGACAGTAGTTGTCGAAACACGGATCTCATGTAGAAACATCGGTACCTTCAATGCTATAGTTATTCCACTGGTTGAAAAAGGAGGGTGTTAAAAAAAAATAAACTCCGCTTCATGTTCATTTATACTACTTTCAAAAGTTTAGCAACACAACTTCTGACTGAAAATAAAGTAAAACAAACTCTCGATTTATCTATTAAGCTTGTGTTTTTTAACCTTCAATCATTTGTGTATTTAAAATCACTACTGTTATGTTGGTCACATTTCAGACAGCGACAGTTCGCAAACTTCGAGGAAGGTGTCAACATTGGAAGCCTCAAATTTACAGCCGATTGCATTGAGTGTGTAGGTAAAGGTAATATCGTTGGTTAGCTTGCTTGCTAGCTGAACCGTGAAATCATTATTAGGTAAGGTATACTTCCCTCCTTTCGAAGTAACCTAGTCCTGGAGACAGATAGATTGGTTATCTGTTGGACTAGTCTACTTTTAAAGGAGGGTAGTTTACCTTACCTAACAATGACTTCACGGTTCATCTAGCAAGCAAGCTAACCAAAAAATATTACCTTTACCTACACACTCAATGCAATCGGCTGTAACAATTTTTAGCACATGGTCTAGTTATAGTTAAAAATGAATACAACGCAGAAAATGGAAGAAGTGACGAATCTGATGCCATAATTGAATACATATGAACAGAAACTTTTATTTCCCTCGAAAAAGAAATAAAAAAAAAATAGGAGAGCATTTTTTACCACTGAATTTTAAGATTTTTCTTGTGTTTTCTTCTCAATGAATTAAACAGCATTTAAAACAGGAATGCTGTTAATTTCATATCATTTTGAGCATTGTGTGCAAGGATTGCAAAATTTTTTTCAAGTAGGATTTTTTTCGGGAGCAATCCGCTTGCGCCAGAAATGCATCCTTTTGCGCCACAACTTATTTGCTATTCGCCCATTCTTATAAAAAAAAATCTTATTAGTATTAAAACGGTGAGACCTTTGCACACTATCAAGACCGATAGATTAACCTTTCTTGAATTTTTAAGGCTGATATTTGTAGGTTTTGTCAACCACTAATAGTTTTTCAATCATATTTGCTTTTCACGGCTGTTGGTTTTGTACTCCGTCAAGGTAATGTATAGTATACACCTGTTGAAAATACAGTCCTCTTCATTAACATTGAACTATCAAAAAATCATTGTTGATGGTCTCTCGGATACCATTGATGGTGTCTTTGTGTCTTTGTTTACATGCCATTTGAAATACTAGTAATCTGCGCTCCTACTTCCTTGGGTTGGTCTCGTATAGATAACATGATCATCTACATAGCAGACCATGTGTTTGGTTTTTTTTTATTACGTCACCTTATTTTTCGCCTCTTTTTATGCGATTATCGTCCTGTTTCTTCCATATTTAATTGTACGTAAGGTATCTTGATTCATTAAGAATTTATCTAATACTAGTAATTTATAACAAGTAAATATAGGCTAATTGTCAAAAATCCATACACTGTAGGATTCTGAAGTTTTATGAAATCCAGGGATTTTATTTACTCCTTTTTACTGGAGAACAATGCATGTCTGTCATATTTGTATTTCGTAAATTGTTTGGTTATAAATCAGTCCTTTAGTTTTCTCAATTGAATTGTTTCATATTTTTCATGTCGGGGCCTTTTATAGCCGACCATACGGTATGGTATTGTTGAAGGCCATACGGTTGCCTATAATTGCTTACATCCACTTCATTTGAAATTTGGTGGATAGTTGTCTCATTGGCAATCATACCACATCTCCTTATTTTTATAATGCAAGCAACGTACTTTTTAAAACTATTGTTTTCATATAGAATGCAAAAATAGTGTTCACGTCACTTTAATTTTATAGTTATTTTGCTTATAAGAATTTAAAAAAAATGTCCAAGGGATTTTTATTAATAGACATAGATCCCATTAATTTCTTAACATGGCCTTTGTTTTACAAATACTTGATGCAGTCGGTCACTAGCGTTAATTATATAACGGAGAATTTGCATGTTTCTCATTCAAAAAGAAAATAATGAAGATGTTCTGACCCAGTTCTACATGAACTTGTAACTATTCGGTTTAAACGGAGCATTTGTTGAAGAAAAACATAATCATTTTTATGACCCCAAAGCTACTTGCGCTAAACCAAAACAAAAGAAGCTTCTATACATTTGTGTTACATTCACGCATGAACTACTCAGGAAGAGTAAAAAGAAGCTAGCATTTCCATATAACTGCACTGTACGCTATGAACGTATCTATATGATGTCTTCTAAAAATAATTTATAGTTTGGTGACTATGCAGTGGTGGTTATTTTGGGGAATTGTAGATGGCGAACGCTGTCCCTGTGGTCGCCCAAAAAATAATAGCATTATATCATGTTTTTTCACGATTTATATGATTTTTTAGCACTAATAGTTCCAAAAAAAATTACGCATCGCTTTGCTCGGAAGTATATAATCAGTTTTATGGAATTACGCCCTATTTAAAAAATCATGGATCCACCTTTTTTTAAGTAACGTCTTTTCGTTGTTTTTCGTTTTTTGATATGGTTTTGTCAGTTTCTCATCGACCGATGAATTTGGATTGTCCCTTTTGGTATCTTCAGCCTACTTTTTAAAATGTATTTACAATTTACGCAAACTATTGTACAGGTAGTTCAACGTGTTTAAAGGGATATATCAGTATAATCAATATATATTACACCATTTTTCGTTCATGCGATAATTGTGTATATTTATGTTTGTAACACTATGTGTATTTACAATGTACTTACCCAACCCTTGAACCGGTAAATTAAAGGTAGGTGTATTCTTATTATAAATGCATAATATTTACAACCTTCAGTTGTATTCATGGCATGCAAATGGTTAAAATTGAGTCGGTTGCTGTCCTTTCCCAGGCTAGCTATTTTAGTTTAAAAGATAGTATTAAGGTCATGATATTTCGAATAAACAACCCCCTTCTCACAACACACAATTGAAATAGCATTGTCTGTAGCATGACGGAAGTTGTTGAGAGAGGTTTCATTCCATATCCCACCTAAAATACCGACTGCAGCATGTCAGTATTATCAGAATTTAATAATTAAGTCCTCGAATCAAGACCTACATGTTTAGTTATCATGTAATACCTTTAGATGGAAACGGTCTCTGCACGTTTCAGTTTATAAAGAAATTATTGTCTCGCCTGCTAAGAATGTCGCTAATGTAGACATGGCGATCCCACAGGATTCCATCGTCATAGTCAACATTTGGATACAATCTCACAGTGCAGGAACGAAATAAATAACTTGTTTGCCGAAATATGACATGGGGTCTAAAAAAATCATCGTTGTGATCATACATGTATCTATACGAATCGCTATGTTTTAAAACAATCATCGCTTTGCCAACAGTGGATACAAGTTTTATTCAGTCCCGTTCCTTCATGTAAACACAGGGGCTTAGGTAATCCCCCCTCCCCCTTTTCTAAATTTTGTCTTGTTTTGTTTGTTTTAAATAAATATTCTGTGATAATTTAACTTTTTCAATGTGATATTGTTTTTTTTTAATTAACATTAGTTTATGAATATTGACCCATATAATAGAAAATCGAAATATTTACATTCAGTCTGGGTTTTGTTAAACATTAATAAATTGTATGCGTCCGAAGCGCTTTTCTTTGTTTACATTCATCGAGAACGCATAAAGCCGAATATATGAAAGCTAAGAATGTATAAGAACCAAAACAGGTGAAGAGCTATATGACCAAATAGGATCTAAATATATTAGCCAAATCCATCTAAGAACTTTGCCTGAGGAAGTTGAAACCTTAGTTTCTTAATAATTTCTAAATTTATAAAAGGACAATTTGAGAAATGTATGTTCAAAAAAGCATGTCAGTACCTAAGTATTGCCTACTGACCTGTACGATACCCTCGGGGATATATAGTTCGACAGCAGAGGTATTGACACAGTGCTATAACAAAAATGAAAATAACACTTAATAAATTTTATGCATCCGAAGCTCTTTTCTGGATTTACCTTTATCAGGAACAGTCAAAGCCGAATAGGTAAAAGCCAAGGATTATAAGAACTGAATCAGGTGAAGAGCTATATGACCGTAAAAGACACTAAATATTAAGTACGCAATACGTGAACTTGAAAAAACTTGAAAACTGTAAATTCAGAAATTATTGCGAGGTTTTTATTATTGCGAATAATGCGACTAGGTGAGTATCGCAATAATTAGAACTCGCATTCTGATATCTGAAACATACATCAGTATGCAGATATTCCTGAAATCGCAATAATTAGACTCGCATTTTTGTCCATTCTTCAAAAATTGCAATAATAAATGCACGCAATAATTTCTGAATTTACAGTAGTAGCTTCTTTATGAACTATGATATGTAGCATCTGGTGAAAACTTTTGACTATTTTTCCTATTTTCTGTATTTTAGTGATGAATGGACTTATTCTGTAGTTAAAATCATATGAAACTTCAAATTAAAAAAAAAGTTGAATATGCTTTATACATACTTGAATTGCTAAGGTTTACTATAAAACAAGTACACGTGAACTTTCTTGTAAAAGAAAATCCTTTATATCATCAAAATCTTCATTAATGTACTGCTCTTGAATTATTGTCTTCCCGTACACTAATTCGCCGATATTTTCCTGCATGCAGTGACCTTAACTACGAGTCCTCTCGTTAGAACTTCGATCACCGCACAGCGGAAGTGCGAGGGGAAACCCGTGATGAAAGAGGGAACACAAATGTGCACTTGAAGGTAATTAGTAATAACTGATTCTTAAAGAACAATTTTAATATAACAAATCATTTAACAACTGTTAATGAAAAGTTTAATTAATAAAGAGGAACGCATGTAAAATATAGAAAACAATATATTATAGCTCTATCAATTCACTTATTTGTCACATGCTCCGCGTGCTCTGGGTTGATTGTTTATCAATGTGACGATCCGGTAAAGTTCGCCAACAAACTCGAAAGTTATTAAGCTTGCGATCAACTATCACTAAATGAAATATTATTTGTCGATAATACGTTATAGATACGTACAGGACTTAGTTTAACATAGACTCGGTTTAATAGTTTCATTAACATTAAAATTACAAGAAACTCTTTGCATACGACTTTAAAGTTTTAAGTTACGTTAACAGATTAGGGTTATAGTTTTTGTCTCGCCTTGACGGAGTCAAAAAGCGAGACATAGGTATGCTGTTTCCGGCGTCGGCGGCGTCAACAATGTATTAGTTTGTGACTAGGTCTAGTTCATGGTGAACAACTAGTGGTAGGTCAATGATATTTGGTATGCAGTTGTATTAGCATTGGCACATCTCATTACCATGGAGATTATTTGGCCCCGCCCCCTCAGTCAAGGTCTATTGACTTTGAAACTTTTCATAGTTTACATGTATTAGTTTGTGATTAGGTCAATTTATGTGGAACCACTAGTGGTAGGTCAATGATATTTGGTATGCAGTTGTATAAGCATTGACATATCTCATTTCCATGGAGATTATTTGGCTCCGCCCCCTTAGTCATGGTCTATAGACTTTGAAAATTTTGCTAAGTTAACATGTATTAGTTTGTGATTAGGTCAGTTCAAGTGGAACCATTAGTGGTAGGCCAATGTTAATTGGTGTTCATTTGTATAAGCATTAGCACATCTCATTTCCATGGAGAATATTTGGCCGCGCCCCCTCAGTCATGGTCCATTTTACTTTGAAACTTTTGCTTAGTTTACATGTATTAGTTTGTGATTAGATCAGTTTAAGATGAACTGCTTATGTTAAGTCAATGATATTTGGTATGCAAATTTATTGGCATTTTCAAGTATCGTTTCCATGGAGATTATATAGCCCCACCCCCGATCATGGTTCATTGACTTTGAAACTTTTACATAGTTTACAAGTTAATGTTTGTGTTTAGGTTTGTTTAAAGGGAACGACTTATAATAAGTCAATGGTATTTGGTATGCAGTTGTATTAGCATTGGCACATCTCATTCCATGGAGATTGTTTAGCCATGTACCTTCAGTCATGGTTCATCGACTTTGAATATTTGCATAACTTACATGTTAAAGTATTGCTATTTTAATTTCAACATTTGCATTATCAAAATTACAAAAAGGGGAGACATATCTCTGTGATAACAGTTTATTAAAACATCCATACATAAAGGCAACAGTAGTATACCGCTGTTCGAAACTCATAAATCGATAGAAATAAAAACAAATCCGGGTTACAAACTAAAACTGAGGGAAACGCATCAAATATAAGAGGAGAAAAACGACACAACAAAAACACAACATTAAAATGTAACACACACAGAAACGAACTATAATATAACAATGGCCATTTTCCTGACTTGGTACAGGACATTTTAAGAAAAAAAAATGGTGGGTTGAACCTGGTTTTGTGGCATGCCATAACCTTTTCAAACCATCATGGAATTTTTGGAAACTTTCATATAACCAGCTCCCCAAAGGGTGACTTGGAAATAGAAGTATAGTCACTTGACCTTTTTTCCGACCGGCAGTAAAACCCTTGCCAAAGTGGGGCGTCCGTTTGGCTATGCGGGATGTACAAGTACGCAGCCATATCCGGTCAGAATGGGGGAGTTAAATCTGATGCCTCGTGTAAAGAGAGTGCCACTCTCTTTGCACGTTGAGAACCCTTGCAACAACTCTTTGAGTTGTCCGTAGGTGGCCTGTTGCTAAGCAAAACTTTTGTCCCTATCAAATATACCTTCATTTTCCAGTGGCAGTCCAAATTTTCCCGACCTTCATCCCGGACGGCCTCTATTACAGGACCTATCTATTGTATTTATTGTTTATGTGTTCTCGTCCTGAACATGCATATGCATGAAATATTTGCCACTGGATTTTAAGCAACCAACATTCAATCAATCATACAACATCAACTACAACAAAACTGTAACACACACACACACACAAACTAATTTGTACCGTGGAGATAATACCAGTAATATAATGTTATATTTTATTAACATATACCCGAACGAGAAATGCCAAGTTACAATAGTTTCAGGAGAAATAAACAGTGAGTTCAAATCTGGTTTGTCCATTTATTAAACATGTAAGCATTCCTTATTTTACTTGGAACAGAAGATTTTAGCATACAAAATAATAGTTCTGTTTAATCGAGAAATATATGTCTTGAATTTGTATTTACCATTGTAATAGCTAAACGTTTTTTTCCCTTCCATTCCAATATCGATACGTATTGTAGGAATCACTTATGTTTGATATCTTATTATTTAGACGATCAGTTTGTCCGGCATGGTAGGTGAATCTTTTTTTTAAAGTTTGTTTTATATTCTTCACATGCGTGAGCCGGTAATGGTCGGCACCGTCCTTTAAACATTTATGCTTGTTTAACTGCATTATTATTATTATTATTATTATTATTATTATGAGGAATGTACATGTACATATATGTACATGTACATATATGAAGGCTTGACAATTATTTAAATTCACGCATGAAATCGTCACGGGCATGTATGAAATATTTGCCACTGGACGTTAAGCAACTAATAATCAATCAATCCAGCTTGAAACATAAAAGACGATATTCAGAGAAATAATAAAAGAATGAATTAAAAAAATTGCAGTTATATATACATATATACATATATTGGTGTGAGCCAAGGCTCCGTGTTGAAGGCTGTACTTTGACCTATAATTGTTAACTTTTTATACATTGTGACTTGGATGGAGAGTTGTCTCATTGGCACTCATACCACATCTTATTATTTATATATATATATGTATATATATAAATATTTATGCAGAAATATTAATCATTCGTTTCAAATGCGAAAATTGAATAATAAATAAGAATACAAAAATGAAATTATAGCTAACTGTACCTGTAAATTTACAAATCGAGCAAGTAATGTCAAGAATCATTAACATACGTGGTCTCTCCGGGATTTGGGTAGATATCGGAGTGTCGGTCAATCTGCAGACAAATAATACGACATAATGTAGTAAATAATACTATTCGTTATCTTGGTGTAAACCGGGTCGTACGGGATTTTCAACACCGTTGTAATATTCCGTATATCCCGATAACTAGTCCATTTCTGATGAAGCGCTCCTTCGTAGCACCTTAATAACAATAAACCAACTTCACTTGCATATGGGATATACATGTACATTTCCCAACTCATTCGGTATTCAAAAGCTTGCAGCTGCTACCCATACTTTATAAAACGTCAACAGTGTCTGAGCAGAAAGCTGATGAACCAGGGCTATGTCAAAGATCGTCTCGTCCTTTTTATAAAGAAGTTCATCGGAAGATACCAAGACCTTGTTGAAAAATATTCCGTATCAACTTCACAAATAATACATGGTCTTGAAGTATAGATTCTAGGTACTGACGTTATTTATCATCTTAATTACGTGTTACAGTGATCTTTTATTTGTCTTTGTAAATTATTAACCTTTACTGTTTAGTCCGTTTTTTTGGTAATACCCTTTGGGCGTGGCTCGGTTCTTATGCATTCCGACAATTTGTTGTTGTTCTGTGGTCATTTTTTGTATTCTTGTCTTTCATTTTTGCTTATGTGCATTGTCTATATGCCATTTTGTTTTTTCTTTGTTGACATATTTGTTTGTTTTTATAGTGATTAAGATTATAACACAATGCTGACTGCTGTACCCCTATTTTTGACATTTTTACCTATTATGTCTGTTTGTTTTGTTCACACATTGTTTTCAATATAATAGAATTTTATGCGACTGTCATGCAAGTGAGAGGTTTAGTTATCTACAAAACTAGGTTTAAACCACCATTTTCTACATAAGGAAATGCCTGTACCAAGTCAGGAATATGACAGTTGTTTTCCATTCGTTCGATATGTTTGAGCTTTTGATTTTGCCATTTGTTAAGGGACTTTCCGATTTGAATTTTCCTTGGAGTTCGGTATTTTTGTTATTTTACTTTTCACTCATTTTTATACCAGAATGTCAAATTGAAAAATTCTTATGAAGAACTTCCACTATACAATTTCACATACTGATGTTTAGAAATAAAATAAAACTTGACATTGCCGGGATAGGTCTTTTTTTACCCTCTTCGTCGAGTATTTTTCCCAAAAGTATATACCTTTTTTACCCTTCACGGAGACGCTTGGTCGTTTGTTTGCTTTATTAAATGCAGAAGTTTTTTTTTAATATCCCTTGGTGTTTGAATTTATCAAGTCTTTTTGGTTGACCTGTAAAGAAAACAAAGAAATACTAATGTGTTGAATAGAAAACCATACAAAAAACCTGACAAGTCACCGATTTTACTGAAATAGATTTGGTTTAATACCAGTTGATCGACTCAAAATACAGAATTTTATTTGCTATCGGCAATGAATTTTTCATAATATTTACATGTATATACAGAAAACGTAATTCGGCACTTCCGATGTGTTACGGATTCCTTCATGTCAGTCATGACGTACTACGACAAGAATGAAGCAGCATCAAATTTGCTAAATTGTTGAGGAGTAGCAGTCATCTCGTAATATATCTCTTTGTTCCTTTTAAAGCAAGAATCTTGCAATCTGATTGTTAAATTGCCCGGGTGTTAAAAAAAACCCCACCCTTCTTCACCCGGGGATCAAAATTTGCAAAAATTCCAAAATAAAAATAAAAATTTGATAATGCGCAGCAACATAGGTGTTGAAAAATGTGTAGTAGATGTTCTTCACAAAAATTGTATTCCCCGGTATAAAAAGAAATAAAGGAACGCTTCATAAGATACAAATTCGTTATCTTGGTACCGGTGCAATCAGGGGTGTATATAATTTTACAACGGTGTTGCAATTTCTACACCCCTGATTACACAAAAATAATTAATATTATTCGTGTTTTAGGATTTGCTGGTACGCTGAATTATTGTTGCTGTCATATGTATGTTTCATAATGGTTCTGATATTCATAAAACAGGTTGCAATTTGTTTGATCACATGGCTGATTGCAATCTGTATAACGTTTATTAGTAAATATTACATGCATATTCAGGACGAGAACAAATTCTCAAATAATTTAAAAGGTAGATTTTATAAAGTGGCATGAGGTTTATGAGGGGCGGAAGGTTTTGACTTGTCATTGGAAAAAGTTGTTATTTTGGGTAAGAGATGTAATTTTGACTTTTTTTCAGATTCTTTATCGGGTCGGAAATTTACATCGTAGCACTCCCTCTACACGAAACACCGGATTAAACGTCCACTTGTTGGTTTATCTATATACATGTACACCCTCTCCGCCAAAAAGGCGATTGGTAGTTTGCGAACGTCCAGTGGCAAATATTTCATGCATAACTTATTTTTAAAATTCACAAGGTTAATTTTGTAAAACTGGTCTATCTGATTCGGGAAGTTTCGACTGCCACTGGAAATTGAGTTTACCAGGCGGGAATTTTCCCTTAAACAGGCCAACTACAGAACTTGCAGACAACAACCAATCAAATTCCGTTTTTTTCTGTACTGAAAACAGCTAAAGCAATATACAGGTGATGATTTGAGTCAAAATACATCTGAAAAAGGTTGCTAAATGCAATCGGCCATCCCTTTTCTACTTGTATATACTAGTATTTAGATACTGGTTACTTATTTGAGAGTGATTTATTAAGGCGAGTTTCGCAAGTAGAAAGATGATTAAGATGTATATCTTTGATCTCCTTTTATATGAATACACGATCAAAGAAACAAAACAAAAAATTCGCAACTGAAAAAGGCTAAACGCCGAAAGTTATCCGCGGAAGAAATAATCTAGTTCATATTACAGTGTGTGTTTACCTTTTTGCTGTAATGTTTTGATTTGCCCATTTCATGCATTTTAATTCGTATTTATTATAATATTTAGAATTTCCAAGTTTTCCTTTTTGTATCTTCTTTTATATTTTAATTATATATTTTTTTTTGCAGATTATTGAAAAATGCACACAGTATTAGTGACAGGAGGATGCGGTTTTCTAGGCCAACATGTAGTCAAACATTTACAGCTCTATGGAGAGAATGTTGAAGAAATACGGGTTTTTGACTTCGTTCCATTTAAAAGAAAATTAGGTAAAAAAGGCAATATTAGATCATACAAAAAATGTGCAAATGAAAAGAAGGGACAGCATGCACAACGATAATGGCCAAAAAGAAAATTGTTATTCTAGAAAATATACGACTTTTAAGATGTTTCGGCCGCTGGCCTTTTCTGATTCTATGGTATCTTTCTAAGCTTCATGGTATTCTAAAAAAGTTTAAAAAGATAACAGAAGAAGGCCATGCAGCGACCGATGCGTATTAAAAATGGTTTATTTACTACATTAATGTAAAATATGTTTACTTTTTAAAATTTCTACACATAAAGAACGGAAAAAACACAAATACATAAATTGTATAGTACACTTAACTGAGGAACAATCGCATAATAATATCTCATTAAACAAATCGTGCTTTACCTTCATTGGTCCATAAAATTAATTCTAACTTTATGTATCTAATTGATTGTTGTTTACTTTACATCCAGTGGCACATTTTTCATGCATGTTCAGGACGAGTAAATTAATAATAATATAAAGAATACATACAATATGTATGTGACGTACTAGGGTTCGACCGGGATGAAGGGCGGTGAATAGCATCGGAAATTAGGTTATATTGGATAGTGACAGAAATTTAGCCGTGCACAAAGTCACCTACGGGCCCCTCAAAGAAATGTCCCAATGGTTCATGAACGTAAAGATAGCCTGGCAACCAATACACGAGGCATCGAATTTAATGTCCTAATTCTGACCGGGTATGACAGCAAAGGAGTAGAGCCAGTAACCACAATAAACGGCCCGGTAAAGGTGCATTTTTAAAACTCTAATTGTTCGAGTAAATTTACTGTGTACAGATGGTTTGCTAATTGTGTTATTTTTGAAAGTATAATAATAAAAAATGTATATCTGCTTCATATATTATAAATATATAAGCCTGAAATAGGTATAGATTTCATTTTAGTCCATTTTTCTAGAAATTCGTCATCTTTTTCGACCTTATTTCATGATTTCATATGTGACGCCACACCTCGCCCATTGAAATTTTGGTTGAAAAGTAAAGAATATGGAGTATTTAAAATATTTCAGCAAAAATATTTGTGGGCGAGGGGTGGCGCCACTTTTAATTTTTCAGAAAACTGACATAAATTTCACCAAATCATGCCAAAAAGCAGGCGTTCACAAATTCACCTACATTTATGATGTCACATATACATCACTAATAACGTAATTGGTGAAAAATCTTTTATAACTGAAACAATTGGACATTTTAACATATGTTTTCATATTATTTTCACAACATCATCGAAGTTAAAAATTTCAGGTTTTTAGGGCCAAAATTATGAGTTAGTGAACCAACTCCTTTATACATCCCGCACAACCAAACGGACGCCACACGCAATGGTGTTCGTACCACATCGGAAGAAGACTAGTTTTATACCTAAGTCAACCTTAGTACTTATTCGAGGATATATTTTGATACAATATTTATAAATAAATTGTTTGTGAATCATCATACAATGGCATGGGTTTGAAATATACGATGGTTATCCCAGAAACACGTGCTAAGAAAAAGGAGTTAGGTATTGTACGTATCATGGGCGTTGTTTTAATATTATTTTTTTAAAAGAAAGCGTAAATAAGAAAAGAGATTTTAAAGCGTAAATAAGAAAAGAGATTTTAAAGCGTAAATAAGAAAAAGATAAAAAAAACTATATAATATCCTCTGTATATATTTAATTCACAGGGTCTCAATCAGAACCTTCATGAAGCTAATAACATAGATTTGTAAACGAATTATCTTTACATTTTTTTAAAAATTGCATTTCTACATCAAAACGTTATTAAGCTCATGACATTTTTGTTGAAAACAGTTTTGAAAGACTTTATTGACAATTTCGCATCGAAATAAATAAATTGATTCACATCTCATATAGACAATTAATACATTTACTAATATATGATTAGTGTTGTGGTTAGGAATGTCCTTTTAAATCATTTTCCGATTAAATATACACATGAACTACTAATATATCAAAATCCATTAAATTAAAGCTAAGAGTCGTCAAAAATTTGATCACATGTTCGGAAATGGTCCATAATGTTGTTTTAAACTTACGTACACACATACCGTTGTGAAACTATGAACTATTTATTTAAAGTTGGTTCTCAATCAAACATCAACCATTTGAAATGATTTTAAGTAAGTTCCATGGTGATGAGGGGTCCCGCTTGAGGTATGAATACGAAGACACATCTGGTCAGAATGCGAAATGCATTTGCTCTGTGCACGTGAAAAATACCTATTACTTAATTTTTGAAGATCACTAAGTTGCTTAATTTAACTTCCTCGCCTATTATGCATTTCTTTTTTTTAGCTCACCTGGACCAAAGGGCCAAGTGAGCTTTTCTCATTACTTGGCGTCCGTCGTCCGTCGTCCGTCGTCGTCGTCCGTTAACTTTTACAAAAATCTTCTCCTCTGAAACTTTAGGCCAAATTTAACCAAACTTGGCCACAATCATCATTAGGGTATCTAGTTTAAAAAATGTGTCCGATGACCCCGCCTGCCAACCAACATGGCCGACATGCCAAAAAATAGAACATAGGGGTAAAATGCAGTTTTTGGCTTATTTCTCTGAAACCAAAGCATTTAGAGCAAATCTGACATGGGAAAAATGTTCATCAGGTCAAGATCTATCTGCCCTGAAATTTTCAGATGAATCAGACAACCCGTTGCTGGATTGCTGCCCCTGAATTCGTAATTTTAAGGAAATTTTGCCGTTTTTAGCTCACCTGACCTGAAAGGTCAAGTGAGCTTTTCTCATCACTTTGCGTCCGTCGTCCGTCGTCCTGCGTCCGTCGTCCGTCGTCCGTAAACTTTTACAAAAATCTTCTCCTCTGAAACTACTGGGCCAAATTTGACCAAACTTGGCCACAATCATCATTGGGGTATCTAGTTTAAAAAATGTGTCCGATGACCCCGCCAACCAACCAAGATGGCCACCATGGCTAAAAATAGAACATAGGGGTAAAATGTAGATTTTGGCTTATATCTCTGAAACCAAAGCATTTAGAGCAAATCTGACATGGGGTAAAATTGTTTATCAGGTCAAGATCTATCTGCCCTGAAATTCTCAGATGAATCGGACAACCCGTTGTTGGGTTGCTGCCCCTGAATTGGTAATTTTAAGGAAATTTTGCCGTTTTTGGTTATTATCTTGAATATTATTATAGATAGAGATAAACTGTAAACAGCAATAATGTTTAGCAAAGTATGATCTACAAATAAGTCAACTTGACCAAAATGGTCAGTTGACCCCTTAAGGAGTTATTGCCCTTTATAGTCAATTTTTAACCATTTTTCGTAAATTTTTGTAATCTTTTACAAAAATCTTCTCCTCTGAAACTACTAAGACAAATATAACCAAAATTGTCCACAATCATCATTAGGGTATCTAGTTTAAAAAATGTGCCCGATGACCCTGCCCGCAAACCAAGATGGCCGACATGGCAAAAAAATAATACATAGGGTAAAATGCAGTTTTTGGCTCATATCTCTGAAACCAAAGCATTTAGAGCAAATCTGATGGTATAAAATTGTTCATTAGGTGAAGATCTATCTGCCCTGAAATTTTCAGACCAATCAGGCAACACGTTGTTGGGTTGCTGCCCCTGAATTGGTAATTTTAAGGAAATTTTGCAGCTTTTGGTTATTATCTTGAATATTATTATAGATAGAGATAAACTGTAAACAGCAATAATGTACAGCACAGTTAGATCTACAAATAAGTCAAATGACCAAAATTGTCAATTGACCCCTTAAGGAGTTATTGCCCTTTATAGTAAATTTTTTACAATTTTCATAAATTTTGTAAAATTTTGTAAATTTTTACAAAATATTTTCCACTGTAACTACTGGGCCAAGTTCATTATAGATAGAGATAAAAGTAAGGAGCAAGAATGTTCAGTAAAGTAAGATCTACAAACACATCACCATCACCAAAACACAATTTTGTCATGAATCCATCTGTGTCCATTGTTTAATATGCACATAGACCAAGGTGAGCGACACAGGCTCTTTAGAGCCTCTAGTTGGTTATTATCTTGAATATTATTATAGATAGAGATAAACTGTAAACAGCAATAATGTTCAGCAAAGTAAGATCTACAAATAAGTCAAATGACCAAAATTGTCAATTGACCCCTTAAGGAGTTATTGCCCTTTATAGTCAATTTTTAACCATTTTTCGTAAATTTTTGTAATGTTTTACAAAAATCTTCTCCTCTGAAACTACTGAGACAAATTTAACCAAACTTGTCCACAATCATCATTAGGGTATCTAGTTTAAAAAATGTGTCCGATGACCCCGCCCGCGAACCAAGATGGCCGACATGGCTAAACAATAGTACATAAGGTAAAATGCAGTTTTTGGCTCATATCTCTGAAACCAAAGCATTTAGAGCAAATCTGACGATGATAACATTGTTCATTAGGTCAGGATCTATCTGCCCTGAAATTTTCAGACCAATCAGGCAACACGTTGTTGGGTTGCTGCCTCTGAATTGGTAATTTTAAGAAAATTTTGCAGCTTTTGGTTATTATCTTGAATATTATTATAGATAGAGATAAACTGTAAACAGCAATAATGTACAGCAAAGTAAGATCTACAAATAAGTCAAATGACCAAATTGTCAATTGACCCCTTAAGGATTTATTGCCCTTTATAGTCAATTTTTAACCATTTTTCGTAAATTTTTGTAATGTTTTACAAAATTCTTCTCCTCTGAAACTACAAAGACAAATTTAACCAAACTTGTCCACAATCATCATTAGGGTATCTAGTTTAAAAAATGTGTCCGATGACCTCGCCCGCGAACCAAGATGGCCGACATGGCTAAAAAATAGTACATAGGGTAAAATGCAGTTTTTGGCTCATATCTCTGAAACCAAAGCATTTAGAGCAAATCTGACGAGAATAAAATTGTTCATTAGGTGAAGATCTATCTGCCCTGAAATTTTCAGACCAATCAGG